AAGAGTCGTTGCTACAGTTAAACTGTTGGGTTCGCTTGGATTGGCATTTCGGGGCACTAATGACACCGTAGGGTCCCAAAATAAAGGCAACTTTTTGACATGTTTGGAATATTTGAGTCAGTTTGATAATTTTTTAAAATCGCATTTAGAAAAATACGGAAATTGCGGTAAAGGGAGTGTTAATTATCTATCCCATAGTATCTGTGACGAATTTATTAATTTAATGGCTAAAAAAACATTAGACGTAATCTTGGATGACATTAGAAACGCGATGTATTTCTCACTTAGCGTAGATTCTACACCTGATATATCTCACGTAGATCAATTGGTTTTAATCATCAGATATTTAAACCAACACGGCGAGATAAAAGAAAGATTTTTGGGATTCATACCCATAGAAGCACATAACGCAGAACATTTGGAAAATGTAATTTTAGGTGCTTTTAAAGAGTTTTCACTAGATATTACCAAATGTAGGGGGCAAAGTTATGATAATGCGGCAAACATGTCAGGGGTGTACTCTGGCTTGCAGTCCCGAATTAAAAAACATAGCCCCACTGCATTTTATGTTCCTTGTACAAGCCATTCGTTAAATTTAGTGGGAAATAACGCAGCAGAATCTTGTTTTGATGCTGTGAATTTTTTTTCTTTTTGTCAAAATCTATTTACTTTTTTTTCGGCGTCAACTCGCCGATGGAATGTATTAAAGAACATTCTCCCAAAAGATGGTGTAACCCTAAAAAAAGTGTGCGATACAAGATGGTCAGCTAGGGCCGATGCTATATTGGCTCTTAAAAAGGGCTACAAAGAAATACAGCAAGCTTTAATGAAAATGTATCAGTCTGAAGACGAAAAGCCTGTAGCGCGCACTGAAATAAAAGGGTTAATCAAACATTTTGAAAAATATGAAACGGCCTTATTAACAACTTTATGGTATAAAATATTAGTGAGGTTAAATTATACAAGTAAAGCACTCCAAGATCCAAAAATTAATTTGTTAAATGGCGAAAACTTATTAAAATCTTTAAAGCAGTTTATAATAGATGTTCGGGATAATTTCATACAAATTGAAGATGAAGCTAAGGTGTTGACTGACTCATGTGTGTTTAATGACGAAAGAGTCCGTCAAAAAACAAGAAAATTGCAAAGTGACGAGACATCAACTAATGAAGTATTTTTGAGAGGTCGCAAAAAGTTTATTACACAAACGGTTTATGTTATTTGTGACAATATAATTAGTGAACTAGACAGAAGGAGCCAAGTTTATACCGATATTTTAAAAAATTTTAAAATATTTTTTGATACTAACTTGACAGATATAGAAGTTAATCTTTCTATTAGTAAAATAAAAGAGGTATATAAAGATGATATTAATGTCGATTACTTTCAAGAGGAAATGTTACATTTTTTAAATTATGCGAAAGAAGAAAATATTACGGATCCGTTTGCTATGTACAAGCATATTAACGATGGTCTAAGATCCACGTTTCCAAACGTAGAAACAATTTTAAAAATATTTTTGACATTGCCGGTTAGTAATGCTTCTGGAGAGCGTGCCTTTTCAGTTTTGAAAAGGATCAAAAATTATTTAAGGAATAGTTTGCTACAAGATAAAACTACTAATCTTTCAATGCTTTTTATCGAATCGGATGTGGTAAGCAGCATACCTTTCGATGACATTATTGATATCTTTTCAAAACAAAAAACCAGAAAAAAGAATTTTTAATGTGTTCTTTTTCTTTTTTCTAGTAGGATTTCTATATTTTTAAGAATCTGCGTGATACACATCGGTTACTGTATCATGTATGTTTTGTTTGTTAGAAACTTGTTTAAAAATAAAAACAGTTAATAAGAGTTTAAATAGTTGTTTTGCATTTTCCCTTAGGTAATCGATTGATTAAATTCGAGATTATATTTATGGACCAAAACGCTAAATCAAGGGCCTCAATCAACGTCTAGCGCCTAGGGCCTCATGTTGGGTGGAACCGGCCCTGCCTGCAGCACTTGTGATGCAGGCAATGCCAATGAGGAACATAAAGAAAATTATGCTGCAGCAATAGAAGCCCTTAAAGCCGACAGGCAGATGTCAAAAACGTTGGACCATGTAGTGTACGTCACCATAGATCTGCAACAGACTATGCCACTTCCAAAATTAACGACCTCAAAAGCCTTCTACTTGAGACAGATGTGGTTCTATAATTTTGGAATCCACGTTGTTGGAAAGAATACGGAAAGAGCATACTTTTGCACATGGACGGAAGACATGGCGAATAGAGGTAGTTCAGAGATAAGCAGTGCACTTTTACGATTTATTGAATGCGATGACTATGTCAAGCAAAAAGATCGCTTAATAATATGGTCCGATTCTTGCGCAGGCAAAAATAAAAATTTTCATATGATCTGCCTGTATCAGTATCTCATCCTAAAAGGATATTTTCTTTCTATTGATCATAAATTCCCCGAAGTGGGCCACACCTACCTGGACTCTGATAGAGACTTTGGCCGAATTGAGAAGGTGCTACGTAAACATGACACAGTTTATATACCAGACACGTATCGGAACATCATTTCAGCAGCGAGCAGACATAATCAAGTGATCGATATGAGTCCGCATTTCCGAAAAATAGTTGATTTGCCTGAAAGACTCCGACTTATAAACAGAAAGAAAGACGAATTAAATGAAATTGTAAGATTTAGGGATGGAATAAAATGGATAAGTCAAAGAATACGGATCTTACCTCTATAAAGAATCTTATGATGAAACAGTGCCGTTTAAAAAGGTGAATATACTTAAAAATAAGAAAAACACACTGCCACCTAAAGATATCCAGATTGAAAGGTTTTCCGAAAAATATGGAACTCTCTCAGACGAAAAGAGGAACAAGCTACAGCAGCAGCTCAAGTTTGTTAAACAGGAGTACCGGTATTATTATGAAGCTATCCTAAAAGACTGAGAAGGCATGTTATGTTAATATTTACAAAATAACTACAATGTTTTACTGTTGACGTGTTCAATAAACTCCTTTTCCATGAAATTCTGGAGTATTTTTGCAATTTAATCTAGAGAATGAAGGTGTTATGTACATATCTTTTTCAATAACAATCACAAATTTCTTCTCCCATTTACTAATCAATGAATACTAACATTATACGATATCTGGTAAATCGTCAAGGCAATATTTGATTCAATAGACCTACATGGAAAGAAATTACATGGCAAAAACTTTAACGTCAATTTACTCAAAACTTCAAATTTGTATCATAACACCTTCATCCACTCGTGTCTTCAATTATATTGTGGAAGTGCGTTTAAAAAACTTTTTTGTAAATTCTTGATCTTTATAAAGTTCCACGTCTGGTAATTTTCTCCTTCTCTCTTTCATTTCTAAAAATTTTGCAACCGGCGGCCTAGGATCGTAAAATGCTGTATCGACTCCATTAATAATAATAATAATAATAAACTCTATTTAATAAAAGTACAGGAATTATTATAATGATATTTTTGTTTTGTTTTCTTCTTTCCTGATAGCGTTGACTATTGTGGCCATTAACAGCTATGTTGGTAAGTATGAATTACATACTATCCCTAGATTTCCAATGTGAGTGTGCGAATATTTCTTTTATTTTTTATTTTTCTTTAGAACCCTACATAACTTCACTAGACACAGACACAGACACTAATCGTTACTTGATTTTAATCCGTGCGATTAGTTAACCAGGCTAGACCTGAGTTCTCACAAGAAACACCGACCATAATAATAATAAATGTCTTTATTAGGCAGTTGTACAAAGTAAATATCTAAATAATATGTACTATATTAAAGCTAACTGCCTAAGGGCGGAGTTCAGTCAATCATAGAAGCATGCTTGACTGCTCTTCCACTCAACCCAAAATAACAAGTCTTCTGATATGTTCGTGTGACTTGGCTGAATCATACGAATTATCGGCAGGTATAACAAAATAAAAAATAAAAATAAAAAATGAAAATTATATATATATATATATATATATATATATATATATATATATATATATATATATATATATATATTGTTGTGAGACCTAACCTTCACTTCTGGGAATCCCACGATTTACCTCTAGCTAGCTCAGTTGTAATTAAAAAAAACCAAATTTTTACACGCATCTCAAGGTCCAGCTGGATTCTGCCACCCTACAGCATTCCAACAATGACATGAATAGGTGGCTTAACCAAATCCTTAAATTCCAATACGAAACTTTACCCCCAGATTTTAATAAACTTGAAACAAAGTAAGAGACGCCGACAATTACCTCTCTTTGACTGTAATAAACAAAACCTGGATTGCAATGACTGGTTTAATTTCAGGCAAAAAATTGCGTAAATTTCTGTTTTACAAATTGTTACAATTTTAAACAGATAAATGAAACACAAAAAAAACAAACAAATTACTCAAACATTACAAAAAAACATGACAAAAACAAACCACTAACTACTACTTACTTTTAAATTTGTCCGAGTAACGTACTCTGATACAAAGAGGTATCCGTACACGATCACAACAACAAAATTTTCACACAAACCAAACACTCAAACACCGACGTCTTCTCTCTTCGGGTACCCACAATTATTTTCAAAACTTCCGTGTTTCCGCAAAATAAAAAAAAAAACAGGACGGCGACAAACTTCTTAAACTTTTCAAAAAATTCTTCTTAAACGGCAAACAAAAATTCTAATTAAACCTGGATCCACTACGCAAGAAACTTCCACAAAATTCAAAAATAACGTAACCGAAGAAGCGCCGGTTGGCTTTGTAACGACCAAAAAGCCCCGCTCTCTTCAAAAATTTTCTATTTAAGCCAAAAGCCCTTCTCCTTTCTTCAACATCCCGCCCGCCAATCACGCGAAGCGTCGATTTT